TTGATGGCGAGAGAGTGGTCATAGATGGCGATGCAGTCGAGGAGCGCTAGTTTGCGGAGCTCGGCGTCAGCGCCGTCCTCGGTGAGCCACCCGCGGAACACGCCGCGCCCCTTCAGGTACGCGATCCGCCGCATGGTGGCCTCCCGCTGCCCTCCCTTGCCGTCGTTCAAGTCCGGCCCCACGAACACCCTGGAGCCCGTCCGCGAACTCGGGCTGCGGAAAAGGGGGCTCTCCTCCATGACGCGGAAGAGCCAATCGCGCGCGGGCAGGTCGTGCCCGTCCAGCAGAAGCCTGAGGTCGCCCGGCGCGAACGCCGCCGGCCGTTCGGTGGACTCCGGCCGGACGTAGCTCAGGCAGCAGGAAGGTTCCAGGGGAGTGCTCGCCGGGATGGGGGCGGTGGCGCCAGCGAGGTGGCGCGCGACGGCGGCGGCGCGGCGGACCGCGGGCGACAGCGACGTGGGGTCCATCACGGAAGGGTTGGTGGCTTTTGCGGCTCGGAGTGGAGGAGACGGAGCCGTGCGTGGAGTTCTGGTGATCGGCGGGGCAACTGGTGGACGAAGCAATAAAGCCTGTTCGTGCTTTGCATGAAAAATCACGACTCATAGGACAAAGACGGACAAAAGAATGAGGTAAACGAGGCGGCAAAATAACCTTTGAGGTTGAGACCAACGACTCAATCCTTCAAAAAAAAAATCTAAATCCCGGCACGATGAGACGATGAGATGAGTGATGACGAAGACCAATGCAAAATTTTTAAAATTTTCAATCCTTCAAGATTAAAAAAAAAAAATAAAAAATCCCGGCACGATGAGATGAGTGATGACGAAGACGATTAAATATTAATTGTTAAATAACAACGAAAATACTACGGTGCTCATTTTACAAAAAATTTTGCATCTAAACCGAGCCTCAATCCTTCCAAAAAAAAAAATCCAAACCCCGGCACGATGAGATGAGTGATGACGAAGACGAACGACTCTATACAAATCGCGTGACAGGAGAAACCGAGAAATCGCGCCAATGATTATAACGCCGAGTCAGCGTGAGATTGCATTTGGGAATACGTTTCTTTGAGGGAAGGATAGGAAGAACGGTTGGAGATAGCTTGTCGGTTTTCGCCACCCCTGTAGATGCGATCAGCCCATCACACGCTGACCCCTTTTTTCCTTTTTCAAAAAGAGAAAAAAAATACGGAGTACATCAGTATATCAAGATGCAAATCTTTGTTTCTTAAATACTCCCCGTCACAAAATAAATCAACTTTTAGACTTATTCTAAGTCAAAATATTTTAAGTGTAACTAAGTTTATAGAAAAAATCAATATTTATGATATCAAATTAGTATCATTAGATACATCATTAAATATATTTACATAATGTATTTATTCAGTGTCATAAATGATATATGAAATTGTTCAAACTTAAGGTAGTTTGATTTTAGGGGATTCAAGAACTTAATTTATTTTGGGACGGAACATAGAATTGAAAAAAAAGTAAAACACTACTTACAACAAACCAAAACAACATTAAATTAAACTCAACAAATTTCAAAGCTTATATGTAACCTACTTGTTTTCTTTTTCGAAGAAAAGAGACATCACTAACTAGTAACCAATTGATAAATGGTCATCATTGGAGGATTCCTTTTTTGCTGCTCGTTAATGGGCTCCTCTCGTGCAGTGGTGGTAATTGATCCCGTCACAATTAAAGTTCAGTTGAGGTCCTTTGAATGCCAAATAGAAAGCTCAAACATTAACTAATCATGGTCTAACAAAAACTAATAGAGGCAAATTGATGAGTAGAACTATTAGAAAAAAGAAAATTTTAATTAGTCTATTATCTAACAACGGACTAAACTTTAGTATGATAATCCAAACGTGTCCTGAAAGGAGAGAGCAAAACTAAGTATGAAGATAAAGCTCTCAAGTCCAGTGTCCTCAAATACCGCCATGTCATAACTACTAGTACAAGATATCCCTCCTGCAAACGAAGTAAACTTTAGTTGAGTTTGCAGTTGCGCTACTTGTTCAAATTAGTTGCGAGTTGTTGGTGTGGCCGGATCATTTTCTAGGACGATTTTTATCCTTACAGCCAGAACCAATCATGGTGGTATTGTGCTACTAGATTCTCGGTATGGCAGAATGAATCTCAACAAGTATGGTGTAATTGAGCTTTTCGTTGTTTACTTCGGCATGGAATGGATCAGGTAGGTGGACAGCTGAAAATTGATGTGTGGCTTCACAAGTTGATGACATGACAAAAATGTTGTTGCGCAAGGTCTGGTTGATTTCACGGCTAAAATCGCCGTCGTCAGTCATGGTACATGTGACCGGCTTCACTGTGCAGAGACAGTCATTTTTTTTGTCCCTTCCCTGCAAGGCGGAGCCTCCAAAAGCGAAACTGGTCCTTGCCGCGCCCCTTGTCTATTTACCATCATGTCCTCCATTTATTCCACAAGCTAATGTATTAGGTATATGTAAAGGAACAAGTAGCTCCGTTTGGATCCTTACAATTAAAATTCATCCTAATAACCACAATTTATAGTTTTAGACACATATCAATTTGGTTAATATGGACACATGTCAAATATAATTATATACTAATGTTGGCCATATGGAAAAGACACTTATGTGCTGCACTTCTGCTACATAGGAGTGAGCCGAAGAGTGTGCTATAAGTTGTAAGGTAGAAACATAATATAAGGATCTATGGAATTAATTTCTATCTCTCACCACATGAATTTAAGGTAAGCTTATATCTAAATTATAGAAAGTTGTGGAATGTCAAATTTTAAGCCAACTAGTCTAGTTCAAAAGGTATATTTCAATTCCTCAAAAATAAAAGGATCCAAATGTATCCTTAGAGTTTTTTTTAATTCCATGGTCTAAAATTTAGGGTCTAAACTTTAGACCAGTTTCACTCAAAGGCTTCAAGGTGGTCTAAAGTTATATCTAAAGTTTAATTAATCTCACAAAAAAAGGCATTGGTTCATTAGACCACAAAAGTAAACTAAAATGGTGTAAAGTTTAGCCCTTAACTTTCTAACTAAACTTTAGACCATGGGATCAACCAGGCCTTAGTATTCTTCGTACAAAACTTACAAGTCGATTGCTTTGTAAGCATATTGCGTAAAATTCAAATATAGCGAGCTCTTTATAATTGGAATATTTTAAGGTCCTTAATAAGTGCTAGGTAAGCATACCTTTCCTCTGCCCCATATCTATCGACAAATGGAAATTTTAAGTTAGTTACTTATATGCTGTAACATTGGGGTAAATACATGTAGGCTGTAGCAATGGCAAGATACCATCACGCTGGCTCCTTATCACTAGCTTTTGTGTTGGGTCTTTAAGTTGTGTGCATTGCAAAACAATTGATGTTCTCTTGGAGTGTTCCAGGCGCAATCTATTAGGACTTGTTCGATTAGTCTCCAATTCGAGAGGATTGGAGGGAGATTTTACCCCTATAAGTTAAATTCATCTTGAATTCCCTCTAGTAGTTCTCTTGAATTGGTGAAGCCCTTACGGTTAGGGACCTCTGATTCAAATGGTAGGACAATGCTTTCCACAGTAACTAGGATTAGTGGACTGGATCTGAATTCATTCTGTATAGATATCATAGCGGTCCGCTAACCATCCATGGCACCATATCGATGTGAATATGTGATAACAGCCTTAGAAGAAAAGTCAGATACAAAAAACAACAAATTTAAACTGACATAAGTTCATCCATAGTCAGCCAAAAGGTATGCTAAACATCAAGCATATCCGTCGGGTAGAAGCAGAAGACAAAACGCTACTGGTCAGTCGCTGCTGCTACCTGCTAGCACCTTTGGCAGAATGGCAGCCTCTGCCATCCTGAAGATTGCTCGAGGCGGGTCCCATGTAGATGGGCAAGGGTTCTTTATCATCGGCGCGAGCTCGTCCTTGCCAGTCACCGCTTCCCCGCGTCGTAGCCTCGCAGGACATGGTGACGCCGGCACCATCTTGCAGTTGCAGCGGGCGGGGTGGCCAAGAGCAGGCAGGCACGTCAAGTCCCACTCGTCGGTATCGCTGGCCACCGTATTCTCGTTTGGGCCACGGACTTAAACCAACTTCAATGTGCTTTCGGAGCCCAACAGGCCGAATACCAAAAGACCTTAAATGGATAATCATGTCATCACGGATCCCCGCTACGTTGTGTTATGGCGCGCAGTGCGCTAATCAACTTGCAGCGCAGGAAGGCTACAAAACAACAGGAGGGTGCAACCTTGAACTATACTTACCTGGACGGGTCGATGAGCGATCAAAAACACTTATGGCCTAAGTTAGCAGCCTCCATTGCACTTAGGAGAAGTGCTATCCTACCATCTCCCCAAGTGTGGGAGTAGACGTCATAATTTGTTGTAGAGGGGATGTGCGTTCGCGCCCCTACCAATATATTTGTATGCAAAACTTATTTAAATTCAACAGTGCAAATATATTAAAAACAGTTTTTTTGTATGCAAAACTTATTTAAATTCAACAGTGCAAATATATTAAAAATACTTTTTGTTGCTAAAATTGTAGTTATAGTTAAATTTAAATTTACTAACTATATGTTCTGTTCACTTCACACTAAAATACTGTGCGTCTTTTAACGACCCTCCGGTACTTGTTAGGCGGGAATCCAATGCACTTGCAAAGTTATGCCTTTTCTGAGAGGGTTCTGTAAATGAGCCGGATACTTTAAGTGATGAAACTGTAACTAGACGGTTAACTTACATTCACATTCAGTGCATCATATTACACTGACTACTGGAGTGGCGAGTGCCTTGCAGCAATAAGGGCCAGACCCAAAACAAGGTATTAGCATCGTTACGACATGAGCTAAGCTCGCATAAGTTGATGCATAGTCAGCCAAAAACTATGTTAATGTCACAGATGATTCTTATCATCAGGCAAAAGATGGAGATGAACTGTTGCCATCATGACACTTAGAATAGGTCAGCTGATGGTAGTTGTCGCCTTCACAGAACGGCCGCTACCATTGCCATGATGTATCCCTTGAGGCGGCTGCAGAGTCCCATGTTAATCCATTGTGGGACCACCGTCTGCTAGCAGGGTCATGCCTCGTAGTGCCAGAATGCTGGTATGGTGAGTATTCCCATCTCCGCAGCTGATTCAGGTGGCCTACTGCTCGTCTACCTGTCCTTTGCAAACTTGTGTGATTATGATGGAGTGGTACTGCTGTTTCAAGCCCTGTAGTATAAACCTGTGGACGATTGATACTCTGGTATTGTCCTACTGTCATGCGCTCTGCATTATAGGCTTGTGGTTGTTTGTACTGGTCTGGTTGAGCCATCTGGCGTCCTACAGCATAACCCTGTGAGCTTGATATGCTTCCAGTAGAACCTCCGGTTCGCTGGTGATGTTGATCATCATAAAGGCTAGCTGCCACAGGTGAATACAACTGATGACTGGGTGGAGTTTTTGTGTAATGGTTGGCCCTGACTGCCGCAAGAATAGATTCAACAGGAGGTGTACACAGCAGTGACAACAGTTCATCCCGGTCACCGAGGGCACCAGAAATAAACCTATAGCTGACATAGTTGAAGGCCTGGCCAATACGTTCAAGCCCCTCCGCACCAACTGCTCTAGAGGCATTATCCGGTCTCTCGAATGGATCTTCGACCTAAACAAAAATAGTGAAAAGACAATATTTGAACACATGAAAAAATAATACCACAACAGACACCCACTGCACCATGAAGGAAATACTTACAAACAAGCTGTATGATTTGGCCATCCAAGTTGGGTTGTTCTGGATTTGCTCAAACCGGCCCGTGTACGTGGATATCACTTTGGTTGAAAGGCTCCAGATGTTAAAAAACTAGAGGCAATATAAGATAGGTTAAATTGCTTCTCTTAGGTTAAGGAACAAAAGAAATTGCTTCTCTTAGGTTAAGGAACAAAAGAAATAAACACTAGTACACTACAGCGTGTTCTTGAATTAACCATGTTGAGCCTTTTTGATAATCTAAAACACACTTATACTGAAAATATCTTGGGCTACAAAAAAGGAAGTGGTTCTGTGAGTCAAGAAATTAGTTCACTTGCCACAATAAGACAATGCAGATGGCTTTACTTAGTTTAGAACCCAGGGAAGTAGACTGAAGAAGTTTGATAAACACAACTAAGCCACGTAAGAACATTTGCCCTCCCAGTTTCTTGGCTTCAGAATCCCTGTCGGGAGTTCTAAACTGACTAGCTAATCTCAGACATAAGCCAGGAATTTATCCCACACGCTGAGTTCAATATATATGACAAAGAGCTCATGATAGACTAAACATGGCACCGAAGAAAAGGTATTTTCTATTATACAGATAATAGGAAAGGCAGTAAAAATATGAACAGCTTATTGTTGGCCCGTACTGAAAGACAGAAGGTAATACTTGGAAATGGAATTTAGTAGACACATATAAACTTGAGTTGTTGATATTGTAGACAGGATGTTCAGATACCTTGTGAAAAAAAGATGCAAGGAGGAATGAAAGAGGGCTCTGATTTCTGTGTCCCGTGTTCTGGCGTAGAAACCTTTCAATATTTGCCATGCAAATGTCATCAACACAGTTCTCATCATAAAACACCAATTCTGCATGTGAATGATATGGGTAAATTACCAGGCACAGATATGCCAAACAACCATACGGACAAAACTAGTCAGTCTTACCTTCTGCAGCTTTCCCATAAAAAATCTCCTTCAGAGGTGGTAAAATTGCAGGTTCACATGTCTGGTAGATGTAATGCAAAGAGGGTAAGAGGTAGGTTATAACCTATAGATTTGAGGGAATTATACATAATTAAAAGAGATAACATCTTATGTAAGAAATAAGACCTGGAAATGAAAGATAACAAGCAAGCACAGAGAATAGGAGTTCAGGGTTCCATTTTTTGGGTCATTAATATTTTGAGCTTTTGCCCATTCCTTGACCTGCAAGGAATAATCCCGAACCATCAGACTTGGGCTTGCCAAAGTTGAGTGGCAGCAAAAAGGGAAAAAAACATCACTTGGATACATAGAGCTCACCAATAAAACCATATCACCGAAGCGTTCATCCATAGTACAGATCCAGTACAAGATTCTCGATTTAATTTGACCAGGGTAGTTGTTAATTGATACATCACAGGAAATACCAAAGTGGTTGCTCATGTATTGAAGAATTGGGACTCTTGCAGTAGGAATGAACTCCATATATCTAGCAATACCTGAACAAGCAATGAGAATCATGTTTAAAGAAGAGCTTCCATAAAAATCGAGGCTTCAGTCAACAAAAAGTGTCATACTAATGCTATGTTTACTATAAGCGGTTGCTTTTAGAAAGAACGTGTTTTTATTAGTTTGGATGTGAGAATTAAGCCAAACAAATAACAGCAGAACCTATAAGAACAAGTAAGGATCCCCATAACTAACTAAATTCGTTGCTTTCAAGTAATGAATTTCGACTATGCCGTTGTGGGAAAAAAAACAGCAGAACACAGCAACTAACCATGAATTAAGTTAAGTAACCACTAAGAATAAGTTGTTGAATAGCTCAGTAAAAACAAGTTGGTGCATTATATTTATTTTTTACTAATCATTATTATTCTCCCACAAGAAAAGTTATAACATTACAAAATCAATCACTCTGGTTAAAGCCTGAAGCTATTTCATGGATAAATAGTGAACATGCAATGAATTCCAAAAGAGAACGACAGGAGAGGTTTACCTCTGATTTGTAAAGCTCTCATTAGTTCTCTCAAGGCATTTTGCTTCTTTTTCTTGCTTATAGGAAGTCTTGAGCCATTGCAGAGATCAACTGAAACATCCAAATCACCAGACTTTGCATAAAGTTTAGATATAAAGGATCCAAAAGGCTTGACAACAGCACCTGTTAAGTAGAAGAAATCAGTAAGGCAACAATTAAGACTGCAGTGTTCTAGCTTCTCTAACAACTATACTTGCCATTACAGAAATTTCTTAAACAGCACATGTATTGGCTTAGCACAATACAAAACAAGGCTAGAAAAAAGTTCTTTTGTAGCCTAATCATGTCCCATTTTCAGCAGCTTTTCTAACAAGACAAACTCTTAGAGTACAACTTAGTTTTTTTTTTTAAGATCTGGCTTTGCCAGCATATATTAATAAGGTAGAGAAAGCAGAGTTCCATCAGATGTGTGTGAGGTGCGCCAGCAAACCCACAAGCAGCAATCCTGAAAAGGATCAAACTAAAGTGATTACTTGCGGTTTGGTAGGGCAACAATCCTGCTTAGGGCCTTAGTGCCCTGCCAGCTTCCACAAGTTACATTCATCAACTAAATAAAAAAGTGGAGCTTCCGCTTTCTCTCTCGGTGCTGAAAAATGTGGTCATTTCTCTGACTCCAGAGTGCACAGAGCACCAGGATTGCCAGTGTGTGCGAAGCATTGTCGCCTCCGTCTGTCATCTCTGCGAACCAGAGTTCCAGAGTTTGTTCATTCTTCTACTCCCCAGGTCTCAAAGTCTGGTGATTGCACCAAAACTCACAACACGCTTCCAGATCACTCACGCATATGGGTGCCCGACAGCAAGGTGCAAGGTACAACTCTGTGCTCATATACAATGACAGAGCATACTGCTAATTGCTGAGCACTGCCATAGGTCCCAAGTTTCTAAGTGGCAGCCTCATGATTGAATCGCCAATGCCTTCCATGAGTTCCATCTACAGCACTGTCAATATGAAGCCGTTGCTATTGAAGGTCATAAACCAAGCTTATCCCTTTTCTAGGATCATGAATTCAAAAGGCTTGTCACTTCTCACGCTTTCATAAAACTAATATCCAGAAGAAACACAACCAAAACTTGAAAAATGCTTATAACCAATACCTCTCAAGGGCCCAACTGAGTAGATGGAATCTGCCAGCTCCTGAATTGCACATAAACGTTTCTTTCGGTCATCTTCCACTGGTTTTATTGTTGAGAGTATGTCTTCAATGCATGCCCTCAGCAAATCATAGTTATGAACATACCCAATCATACTGAAATTCTGCAGCAAGAAATGGTATATAATTAAATGAGAATTGAGAAGGATCAAATTGTGCCAAGTCTATACAAAATGGAATTGCAAGGCATTTGAAACCAGAAGCATTTTCCGTCAACCTGAAAACATACTATCTGCGTAATACCATATTACAAAGATAATGGTTACCCTATTTTTTGTGTCACGACATGTTTTTCTCTTTAATGATACAAACATGATGAAGCTATGTTCATTACAAAGTCTTACATTGTTCATTAGATGCTTCAGAGATAAATAAAGGCAGCCAAACAAAAATGCTGCCTTCATCTTCCTAAAAGAAGGAAACATTAAGAGGCTTCGAAACTAAAAATGGAATCTGTACAGCATTTTAACATAACAGGGTCACCGCTGAGTGCAAGCAGCATCCTTGCCCAATCCAAGGAGCCCTTTCTGCACTGTATTATCTTGCATGCATTCACTGGCGTATGAATTTACTGACGGCTCAATCGATCAGCATCTAAACCAAGTACTTGCAGCTGCTCCCTGCGTGGCACGTCTGCCTGGTGATAGCCTGCGAAGTATTTCCCATCAAGGCAGATGCGCAACAAGATAAAGACCCCCTTTGCACCGTTTCGCCCATATACCACACAGACACACTGCTACTGCTACCACTACGGTACCAAAATTCGAAGTAGTAAAGAATGGCACGGCATTAAAATGGCACCTCCATGTATCACCAAACTCACGAAGCATGAAACATTGCTTACTCAGAAAAGGAAAAAAAAAAAAAGAACGGCGATGACGTGGTGGGTAAACCCTAACTTGGACGATCAACGATTTTGAGAACCCAGATTGGAGTTTGTGCGGACTGGACAAAGCGGAACACAAAGCGAAAGGAAGATGGACCTGGGAGTTTCGTAGGCCACTACGCCGCGGCGATTGTTGTCTCCGCTTGCGCCGCTCGCGTCGCCGAAGTGCAGTTAGCAAGGCAGCGGCCGCGTCGACTGGAAAGCTAATAAAAGAGCTGCCAGGTGCGCAAAAGCGCATTGCTATTTTTTTTTAGAAATTGCTAATTTTTTAGGGTTTTTATTCACACCATTACAATTTTATAAATTTAGAGATAAGCCATTATAATTTATTTATTTGAAGAACTGGCATTATAATTTCATCAATCCCTCGTCCATGCCATTTTCTACGTCTTTCGTGTATATGGACCCACAGTCAGGCACCGATGCATACGAGGAAGACGCATGGGCGTTATGTCTCCGTCTCCTCGATTAGAACAAGCCCCCCGCGGCGGCCAGCGCGATAACGGAGCGGCGGCGCGAGCCCGATGAGCGCCCGCGGTGGCCTGTGCGCGAGCGGCGCGGCGGCGAGCGCGACAAGCACCCACAACGGCCTACGTGCTAGCGGGGTGGCGCCGAGCGCGACGAGCACCCGCGGCGGCACACGCTCGTTGCCGCTCTTCTTCCTCGCCGTGGCCACAAGCTCGTCTCGCTCGTCGCTCTCGACTCCGACGACGATGCTTTCGATGGTGACTCCGATGACGAAGACAGCCCCTGTGCCGCCTCCCCGCACGCCACTGTGCACTTGCTCGATGGCCATGCCTACCTTGGCTCGTTCCGCTTTGGCGTTGACGGCGCAGCGCAGTACTCCGTGTGGTATGTGGAGACGACGGTGAAACGGGAGGAGCACGACGCGGGCGGCGCATCGTGGCGGTTCACGCATCGGGACCCCTTCTCGGTGCTGCGCTGGGGCGGCCACGTGCTCTGCCTCTGGGACGGAGGGAGGTAGTATAAAATAGATCTGCATGTATCTCTGCGTAAAAAGCCTCATTCCTCGAAGAAAACTATTCCATAGAAAAGAGAAGAGCCGGCCGGTTCGCTGGATGGTTTCTAAGCTGGTGGGTACTGGTTCGTTGTGAGAGAAAAATATTATTGACTGATTAAATAAGTCTGGCTCAAACCAACGAGCAAACATGGTGAGCATCCGTTGCGAGGCTCAGCGGCCAGGCCGCCAGGGGCAGGGCAGACTGCAGTGGCACCCACTTCCTCCCAAGCGAGGAATATTCTGGGGTACAGGGCTAGCAACAGCCAGTAATCGGGTTGAGAATGTGATTCATGTACTGTATAGCAACACTGACGGTCGAGATACAAAACTGTCTTTTCCGTCTACTTAACTACCTCAGTACTTTTTAACGATTGAACAATATTTTTCTTACATAACAAATTAATATAAACATCAGCCAAATTTGAGTGATTGTGAACCATCGTCTCACAACTCTCCGGGTACACTTCCTCCCGAGAATCAACATGCCCCCACTCCCTCCCCCTGATTTGGTTACTCAGCACCGGTTTCCTGGTCTGCAGGATGGCGGATGTGGAGCCGCCGTTCCGGCCGAGGGAGAAGCTGCTGGAGGTGCAGAGGTACTTCCAGAACGTCCACAAGCACACCTACTCGAAGGGCCGCTACGACGCCATCACGTCCATCGGCATACCTCTCGCCCTGGCCGCCTCCAGCTTGTTCCTCATCGTAAGCAAATCTTTGCTTGAAGGCATGCTCGCTTAAAAAAACTGACATTCTAGTACTAGGACTACTTGCTAGGTCAGCCTAGCATTTTTGTTCTCTTGTTGTGTGTTTGAAACATGCAGCATCTTCTCTGCGCAGGGAAGAGGGGTCTACAACTCATGTTCCGTGACATCGGAAAGAAGGGATGAAGGTCTACAACTCATGTTCCGTGGAGAGCCGCGGCGGCGGGCACAGTGTTCTTTTTCCCCCAACCGCGAACAGATAAGGAAGGATAAGGATAAGCGGTGAAGAAATATCCAGGAAAGGGTCCGCGCTCAGTTTCGCGCCATATATGCACACACACGTGGCAAAGTTATGCGCCATTTTTTCCCGGGCTGAAGGCAGCTCGCGTCGGCACGCCAGAGTTATGGTGAAGGAATCGTTCGCCGCACTTTCGGCAAAAAAACCTGTGGCAAAGCACTGCGGCAGCGCCGGAGATTCTTTGGCGGCCTAACCTAGGGTAGTAAACCAAACACCTACCTAACTCGGTTTGGCATGCCTAAAATGCGGCGCGGCAGATTATGGACACGAACCAAACGGACCCTGGATCTTCTGTCTCTTGCCATCTTCGATGGTCCGTGACATGGAGTATGTTGCTCATCGTCTATGCGTGCCTGGTATTTCTGTATGTGACACTTCTGGTGTTGTTCGATCTGTTCGTGTCTGGTATTTCTGTATGCGATGACGCTTCTGGTGTTGTTCAATCTGTTTGCTCGGCTTTTGGTACTGTACTGTACGTCCCAGTTTTTTACATGATGATAGAATTTCTGCGTGTCCTGGACCAACTATTGCAGTTTATTTACATGATACGTGGCCATGTGTTGTGGGTAATGAATTTAAGGAGACACAATAAATAAACCCAATCACACCTTACACAAATTAATTTACACATACTACGAATTATAAACTGACTGCTAACAGCAATTTTTACACAAGGAAGAGTTGTCCAGCAGTACAAAGCGTTAGAAATTTTTACATAAGGAAGAGTTGTCCAACACTCAATCCACATCCACATAATACAAGGCCTAGACCAGAGTTCTCTGGCAAAGGCTATGTTTGATATCATACACTGTCGGGCAAAAGCTGAATATGGCATCCACCTAATGGGTACTGTCATGCAAAAACCAGACGATTGCTTGTTTCTATCCTCCTGATTGGTAAGTTACAGATGCTGACGGCTATCTTTGCGAAGTTGCACTGTCTGCTGCTTGGGACCTTGAGTCCCATGTCGATCCGTTGTTCAACTGTCCACGAACAGGCTCATACCTCGCTGCCATCGCAGCATGCCTGTTAGTCTGATGGTTTGATGTATATCCCTTTCGCCGCTGCTGATTCTGGTGCAGACCGTCGGTTTGGAACCCTGCATTATACGCCTGCCGATTGTGGATCTGATATGTTCCTCCGGGTGCTCTATAAACCTGATGACGACGACTCTGGTATGGTCCTGTTTGGAATCTTGAAGCATAGACCTGATTATGGCTTTGGTATGGCCCTGTTCGCTGGTTGGTGCTGGTGCTGGTTTGGGCTGGTGCTGGTTTTTTGTGAGAGGAAAACACTGTTGGCTGGCTGGTGTTGGTTCAGCTGTTTGGGACCAAGTAGGATACACCTGTGGAACAATATGATTCTGGTAAGGCGTGGTCTGATGCACTGTAGTATGAGTTTGTAGATTACGGCCTGTGTATGGTATGGCTGTTGTTTGCAACCCAGTAGCATAAACCTGCTTATTATGATTCTGGTACGGTTCAGCTGTTTGGGGCCAAGTAGGATACACCTGTGGAACAATATGATTCTGGTAAGGCGTGGTCTGATGCACTGTAGTATGAGTTTGTAGATTACGGCCTGTGTATGGTATGGCTGTTGTTTGCAACCCAGTAGCATAAACCTGCTTATTATGATTCTGGTACGGTTCAGCTGTTTGGGGCCAAGTAGGATACACCTGTGGAACAATATGATTCTGGTAAGGCATGGTCTGATGCACTGTAGTATGAGTTTGTAGATTACGGCCTGTGTATGGTATGGCTGTTTGTCGAACTGTTGTAGCCTGCGGATGGTTGCGATACTGTACTGCTGTTTCATGTGCAGTATTCGCTAGTGGGTCTTTATGGACTGATCTGATTCTCTGGGTGCTTGACCTTGATCACGCCCAGCCCGTCCTCCATTTCTGGTATGCTGATTATTCCTTTGTGGAGTTTTTGGGTAAGGGTTTGCTATGACTTTCCCACCAAGTTTCAAGCCAACAACAGGGGTACACAACAGCGCCAATAATTCATTCCGGTCAATATGTTCCAGGGAGTTAAACTTGTGACAAGCATCATTGAATGCACTAGCAATGCGGTCAAGGCCTTTCATACTAACTGCTCTAGCAGCATTATCAGGTCTCTCAACTGGATCTTCAACCTAAACAAAAGATGGCAAAGAGATGGGATGTAAGTTGTAAGTGCATAGGATAAAATTAAGATAAGCAACAACCACCAAATGCACAGGCATTCTTACAAATAAATGGTAAGATTTCGTCATCCAACTTGGGTCGTCCTGGATTCGCCCAATCTGGCCTGAGTAAGTTGATATGACACTATCCGTAAAGGCATTGATACGAGCAAACTGCAAGTAATAAAAGCACCGGTCAGGACATGATATAACCAATCTAAGTTTCTTTCTCTTGGGTTAATAAATAAATTAATGCTGCAACGCATTTTGACATTTGAACGGTTGTATACTTTTGCTACCCAGATAAATAATACCCCAATTATGTCAGTGTTATTCCCTAAAAAGATCAGTGGAATTCATGGGTTGTACAGACTTAAAAGTTAGCTTGGTGGACTCAAAATTTTAAACCAATAACCTCATGGGGCAAATATAGGGCAGCTAGCTTGGAATAGGCTGTTGCGCTGTTATGTTGAAGAATCTAGCTGGCATAGGGGAATCGAACCAATTATAACAAAAATTTTGTGTTATAGCTATAAAAGATATTTAATGAATTACTTAAATTTTATTCAGAGACAGGGTGTTGCAATAATCCAAAACTTTAAATCCACCAGGTAATTTTATTCAACCCTTCATCAAGCTAATAATGGTGCAGAGCTTAAAATGGACCCTAGATGGACTTGGCAATAAGTCAATGGGACTAATAGAGATAAAAGGTAAAGCATCCAGAAACATGAATTCATATTTTACCAAGATGCGAATAGCAAAAGGTAGTACCCACAATAATCACAAAATGTCTCAGTCATCAAAAGTGGGATCTCAATGTTCAGTACCTTTTGAAAAAAAGTTCCAAGTAGACAACAAATAGAAGATTCATTTCTTCAGCCCTTGTTCTGGAGTCTAAATCTTGCTATATTTGCAGCACAAACCTCATCAAGATGTTGGTCATTATAAAGTGCCGCTTCTGCATGTGAATGTATTGAGTTAAAAACTAGGTACTGACATTCGAGACAATCACCGGACATAAAGAAAATTTCATTTAACCTGTAATGTTCCCTTCATAAATCTCATTCAGAGGTGGTAGAATTGGTGGCTCGGATGTCTAAAAAATCCAAGATAAAGAGCATAAGGATAAGCAAGGAATTTAGTGAAACCATAAATGAGTAAGAACGCATAGAGAAATACTTAAGTACAAGAAATAACACCTGAAAATGAAAGAGGACAAAGTAGGCAAAGTGAATAAGAGTTGAGGGACCCACTCTTTGGATCGTTAATGTTTTGAGCTTTTGCCCATTCCTTGATCTGGAAGGAAAGATGATGCGGAACATTCAAGTTACCAACAAAAAATGTGGCAGCAAAAACTCTTGGCTAACTAGATCATACCAGCAAAACCATATCACCAAACCGCTCATCTAAAGTATTGATCCAGTAGAAGATTTTGGACTTAATCCGACCAACAAAGTTGTCAATTCATATATCACAGGAGATGCCAAAGCGGTTGCCGACATATTGAAGGACTGGAACTCTTGCATGTGGAATGAACTGCATGTATCCAGTAACACCTGAAGAAATAAAAGCAATAAAACCAAGTCTAAATGAGAAAGATTTGTAATAGTTATGGAGATATGCCAATTGGTGGTTCCTATCCCAGTGAATCAAGCAACCATGGCACAAAAATATCACTCTTTTGCCACAAAGTCTAGGATAGCACAAGTATATCATGATGCTTAAAGCTATTTCATGGATGCTGAATGTGCAGTAAAGCATACATGTTTATCTATCTTGAGAGCAATATAACAAAGACTACCTCGACTTAGTAAAGCTTTCCTAACTTCTCTCAAGGTATTCTGCTTCTTTCTCTTGTTTATAGGGTGGTTTGAACCATTCCAGAGCTGAACTGATAAATCTAAGTCGCCTGATTTTGAGTAAAGATCTGATACAAAGGATCCAAAAGGTTTCACAGCAGCACCTGTTAAAGGAAAATTTTAATAAAATCCATTAAAGAGAGACATAAAAAAACATTACAGTTATTAAATGTATTGAACTTTTCCTATATCATCAAGATACCCCAAATACTGATGCGTTGGTTAAGAATAGTACAAAGCGGGGAAAAGAAACTTCTCAGCTTATTAAGTCCATCATTTAATGTTTTTGCAGCTCCATTCTAGCAATACAATAACCTGCTACTGTCACCATCTAGCCCAGTACTGTGTAACGATAAGGATCGTATTGCGCTGTAGCATGACAAAACAAACTGTTGTCTACTGCCATAGGCTACTTGTATAATGCCATTGCCAACAGAGGCTACAGCAGTGGAGATACCATTGTTTGCCATGCAAATAAACCTATTCTTTTAGAGTTACGAATTTCACAAGCTTATCAATCCTCGTGTTTCCATATTAGTATTTTTCAAACTATTCATATGCAACATGGTGTGGACTTCACTGAACAATGCTTACCACATATAGATTTTACTCTTTATTGTGTTGACAAATAACTTAATATCTCTTTATGAACACAACAGAGATTGTGATTTAACTTCCACATATATATATATATTATACTATGAATAATTGAATTTATTTCAGTAATTTACCATGAAAATCCACAATACAACATGCACATGCAGGGAAAAACATTTATCTTCAGTACTGCAAGCAAAGTATATTCATGCTTCAGTGTCAAAAGTGGCATCATTGCACCTTAACTAATATATCAGAGTCACAGGTGGAAGTTTAAACACAATTGAGAAGGTCTCAATTGTAACAGAAACAAATATAAGTTACCTGACAGAGATGCAAGAGAATGGATACAATTTTCCAGCTCCTGAATTGTGGATAGCCGCTTGCTTCTATCATCCTCTACTGGTTTGATTAGTGCAAGGATGTCCTTGATACACTTGTTCAGCACAATGTTGTCATGAACAGAATCAACCATGCCGAAATCCTGCAGACATCAAGTAGCATGCATTCAAATAAAAATAAGGAACAAAAATTAATGTCGCATGGACTGAAAACTGAAAGTCTAAAGAAGCACCGCGTCACTGAAGACGGATGATTCCATATGTCCTCGCAGGGGCGGACCCGCCAATATAGGACGGGGGTGTACTACACCCGATAATTTTTGCCAAAAAACGAAGTTAGTAGGCATAATACATGCACACACTTACACTTATTAGATCAGATCCGAATACAGAAAGCCAAATAGCTCAGATTAGGGTTTGGTGCTCCGTTTTGCACAGAAGGAAGGCAAGGGAGGGGTGCGGGCGGGCATACCTAGTGTGGTGGGTGCTCGTCGCCGGCAAAGGGTCGGACGAAGACCTGGGCAGCTTGAGTACGGCGGCGGCGGCGGTGGCGGTTGCCAAGGGCGTGTTCAGTCGCCTGGCCCCGTTGGGACCCCGTTGATGCAGAAAACGTCCGAATCGTGAATCGCGCTATAGTATTGCTCTCGGACTCTCGGGCCAGCCGAGGTGGAACGTGGAACGGGAGAACCGAAGGAAAACAGCGAGACAGGTAGGCGTATCGCGGATTATATTGGTGTGATGTTGGAGTAAAATACTATTTTCAGCTAGAAATTTACAATCGTTTACGAGCGAGCCAACCGTCTGCAGCAGGTACGGTAGGGATTACTCTCCATTCTCGGTTTCCCCTTCCTTTTCCTTTTCTTTTTCTTTCTTTTGTCATGACACTTGATACTTTTTTCTGTTTTCCTTTTGCTTCTAAGTTCTATCTACTTCCATTATTATAACTCGTCATTAGAGGATCTTTAAGAATTTCCAAAACCTACTTTACTTTTTGGTTGATTGAAAAAAAACTTTCTTCAACAACTATTTGGCTTGTTCGGCTTATTTTTTCAGCCGGAACAGTGTTTTTCTCTCACAACAATTTAGCTGGAACAGTGTTTTTCAGCCAGTTTCAGTCAAAGTTCAGACCAGCGAACGGGGTATTTATCTTGATTAGGGTGATTTGACTGAGGTGATTGAAGATAGCTTCGGAGATATTTAAAATGGTTGGAGAAAATTAATAAATATGCTCTTTATTTTTTAGCGGCTTGAAAAAACTTATTGTTTTATCTATTATTTAGAAAAACAATTGGAGATGTGTGTCTGTGGCACGTCTCCGCATCAGTTGCGGCACCACAACGCCCTAGAAGTTCTTCTGGCCTAGACGATAGAGGAGCGAGAGCCGTTTTCTATGAAGACAAAGCTGCTATCCACCTGCGGTGGCATGGTAGAGCTAAAGTGATATCAAATAGATTCTAAGAACATCTTCAACAATGCCCAAAAGTAGTTCTAAATTAAAACTAGAAATGGAGCATGCACTCCAACAATAAAAAAAAATGTTCTCAAAATTTATGTGTGTTCAATTTCCCGTCGCAACCCATATTTTCACGGGGCTTGGTGCTCCCAACCTTGAGCTGGCGAGGATTCTGGACTAAATCTCTCAGGACACGTATTTCCTTGCGCCTCCCGACTTTTATCCCAAACGACGAGGCCAGCCCGCACTTTCCCGTCCACAGTCCAATGGCCCCTGCATATCCAACCTTCTCCGTCCACCAAGGCTCACAAACAATTTTTGTTCGACTAAGGTCCTATTTAGCATGACTTCACATGGCTTCTGACTCCTTGCTGTAGTGTGCGCATGAGCTAGAACTGGTAACACCAAAAATAGCTACTACACCGACTCTAGTTTGGCCTCGTTTGGCTTGCTGAAACTTAACTGAATTGGCTGAAAAACATTGTTCTGGCTGAATTGTTGTGAGAGAAAAATATTATTACAGCTGAAAAAACAAGCTGAATAGTGCGAATTATAAAGTAAGCCGAACGGAAGAGAAGATAGGTCCTCGCTTTCTTGTTTTCGGAGCGGGGCACTTATATTATCACTACATACTACACCACTGGGCGGCTAGCCTTCATGTCGAGTCTTCCTACTCATTCTAATTCTCAAACGTGTATGCCTAACAAAATTCAAAAACGTGTATCAGTATTTTGTAGGTAGATGCGACTATGAGTGGGTATCTTAACATGCAAGTCATAGAAAGTTGTTTCTCTTCTTTAGAAAAGAAAAGTGTTTCTCCTTGTCAGCAAAAGAAAGGGACACAACATTTTAACACGTTGGTTAGGCCGTGTGTGGGTTCAATCTTCTTTTTCTTGAATTGACATGGGCATATGTCGAAAGGTTTATGTAGCTCGATTTAGATCAGCCCGCGTAGCCGTGCCTTTTTTTTTTTTTTTTTTGAGTGGATGTGCCTTTGTTAGTTTCTCAAGAGCAAGAGACTTTTGCCTGATCAATTGCCTATCTGTCGGCCCAATAACACACAACTTCTCACTCAGAAACCCACTTATATACGAAGACCCTGAGGCTATACTGTGGAGGCCCAAGCCCGACTATCGAATTAGAGGTGAAAAAGGTAGTGCACATCAAGCAAGCTTTGTGTTGTACATGTATAATGCGTATATGGTAGCAAAAGACATTTAGATTTTGGTAGAATCATAAGAATAGTTGTCAAACACCATAGAGAGAAATATTTTGGAGAGAATTACTTACTGATACTCATTTTTACTAGTATATATAAACAACCAAAATTTGGTTTCTTCCGATTCTAGTTCAGTTTTAAGAATTTTCAGCAAGCTAGCCAAACCGTTCTATAAAATGGTTATGATTCACTATAGAACATTTCTCAAGAGAATTTGGATAAACATTTCTACGAGAATCTAGTACCCTACCAACACACTCATAAATCATAATACATAGAAAAAAGGGCTGAACAATTAAATCGACTATAGCATTTCCTCCAAAATAGCTCTTTTCAGAAATCTGAGAGGCATCCTTGGCCCGTATGGGCGTGCGACCACTCGGGGGACACACAGTTAAACGGCCATGCTAATATAATACTCCTATACCCTAATTTATATATACATCTAATATTTAATATTTAAAGAAGATTTTTCTCCCTTCCTCGTGTCCTCATTTTGGTTCATCGCCATTGTCTCCTCTGTCTGTCCATCGTAGGGTCGTTACCTCTCTTATTTTCTTGGGACAATTGTATATTGACATCCAAAGTGATGGTCCTTTGCCGACGGACATCCACTTTGGAGTATTTTGCCATAAGACAATCTAGTTCGGTGAAATTAGGCCACAGGACACCGCGGACCGGTTGCAGCCGATTGAGGAGAGAGAACAGCGGTGAAATAACATTCTTGCCCCTGCCGTTTTCTTCTTCCTCTCTCCCTTTCTCTTTTTTCTGTTTCTGTCCCCATGGTCCAGTAGGCGTCGGCCAAGCACCGGCACGTTGTTGCTTGGGCTCCTCGGCAGCCGACGAGCCGGCCGCCGACCACAGCCACTCTGGCTCTACGTCTGCCGTAGGGCCTTCGACACGCGCACCACCATCGGGAGGCCTCCATCGACGCCCCCTCACCCTCCGACGCCGTGACTGCCGAGGGCCTCGCCGAGAGCCTACGCGTGAAGAGGACTCTAGAGGCGTTCTGGGCTTCGTAGAGGCCCACGGCAAAAGGAGGCGGGACGCTGTGTAATTTGAGATGCCACAGCGCTCAAGCTCTACGTGGATCCGGCCGAGATGCGTTGGCCCCGCCCCGTCGCTGTCCTCCGTGCGACCGAATCAGGCCGTCTCTCGGACTCACACGTCACCCTGGGCATTCGGTCAGACCGAACCGATCGGTTCGGTTCCTCGGTCATTCGGTCAGTTCGGTCATCAGAAACCTAGGACCGATCGGTCTTTGCAAAAAACGAAGACCGAGGAAGTTCGGTCTCGGTTGTTTGGTTCGGTCTCGGTCACGACCGAACTAACCGGACTGAGTAGCAAACCACAAACAATAGCAGAATCTATAGCAATTTTCAACAGCATGCTTGCTATTTGAAGGCAAAAAAATAACAACACAATATATAAAACAAACCACACATTATTATGACAAGTTCTAGCACACAACTTTCTCGGTTCTCACAAATCACAATCACACATAATGACATTACGAACGAAGTCTACAGAACTACGGTCAATTCGGTCACTTCGGTTAACCGACACATATGACCGAACTTCTATCGGTTACTTCGGTTAGTTGGGAGCGAGACCGAACTCATGACCGAACTTTTCGGTCTCGGTCTTTTCGGTCTCGGTCTTTTGGTTCGGTCTTGGTCTTGATTAATTATGCCCGGAGAGTTACTCACACGGCCGTGGCGTTGCCCTCTCGGTAGTGATATCGCGATGGCTCGCCATTATTGCGAGATCACACGAGAACTTCGCAAGAAGAAGCGACTTGACGGAGAACGGATCACAAAGCCACATACTGAAGCCACTAAAGCGGAGCTAGCGTCTTCGACTTGTGGTACCGGCGTGCACCCCTACGGAATGAGCGGGGTGGGGCTACGGCCCGTTTCGTGGGGCGGCGTGGCGGCCATGGCCGTGGGTGTTGGGGACGACGGGCGGGGCGGCGTAAGGCGGTCACGACAAGCCTGACCACCGGCGTGGCGGCGGCGGCTGCGGGGCGGTGCGTGGCGGCGCGATGGGGCGGCGTGGTAAACGCTGGCGTGCCAGCGCATCTGCCCGACGACGAGAAGTGGAAGAAGGAGGCCAGCTCGAGCGACGACACCGCGCTAGCCGTGACCCCTACAGAGCGAGGCCACCGAGACCTTGCTTCGTCGTCGATGACCTCGTCACCGTGGCGCCTCCATGTTCGAGGTCCGTCGCCTGCTCGCGCTAGCGTTCATGCGGCTTGGCACGTTCGTGAACGGCGGCACTCCACGCGCCACTCACGCGCCACCCCTCGCTGCCATCAGCACCCGGCGACACTGCACACGCCACCCCTCGCCGCCACCAACACTACCGCCGCGCCGTGCGAAGAAGACGCCCTCCGTCGCGACAGGAAACAGAAAAAAAAAAGATAAAGGGAGATGGAAAGAAGAAAGCGGCAGGAGCAAGAATGTCATTTCACCGCTGTTCTCTCGCCTCAACCGGTCTTCGATGTCCTGTGGCCTAATTTCACCGAACCAGAGTGTCTTCTAGCAAAATGCTCCAAAGTGGGTGTCCACCAGCAAAGGACCATCACTTTGGATGTCCAACAGAACAATTGTCCCTATTTCCTCATGTCCAACCTCTTCTTTTTGTTTTGCAAAAGTTTGTTGGTGGCTTGGCGCTCATGTGGTGCCTAGCCGATCAAGCCTAACTTCGGCATGGGGATTATAGCTTGTCATTTACGTTTTTAACCTCACAATAAATACATACGATTAAACGCATATTCGAGGTGAGTCGGTCTCAATCATTTTTCCATCTTGGATTAGTCCTTATTATTATTGTTTGTTATGAGCCTTAAAATTTATTTGATTTAGTGAAATAATGTTAGGCAAAGCCTGGTTAGATCTAATAAAGATAGTTAGCTCATTATAATTGGCTTAAACAGATCAAAGTAACCATGCAACAAGTTGTATGTCTCATTGCAATGTACGTGTATATGTTTACTAGTAGCTTATTATATATACCTAGCATCTGTGTGGCAAAAAGACCTAAGCTGTCTAATACGTTGACTATTGTAGCTTGATTATTATTATTATTTTATATCTTCGTGCATCATGCTTCATGGCTCTCGTAAACACCGAATCGATTGTTGATATATTATGGGCTTGGCTCATATAATATTTAATAAATTAAATAAACTCTATGGCCCGTAACAATGCGTGATATATGGTTTAATACCGTACAGGGTTTTGACATAACATTGACTCGGTTTATATGGTTGGACATTGTCTATATATATTGAGAAGCTGCGAAAAGGATGTGGCTGTGCCACGCGTGCGCCGCGGGCCGAGCCATGGGCGTGGGCGTGGCGTGGCAGGCGAGCGGACGAGACAGGAGTGGTTTTGCTACTCAATCCACATAATTACAGGAGTTACTCTCTTTTATGTTGGAGGCGGCTTCGTTGCGGGAGTTTACGCCTGTTACCACTGTGGCAGAACCGTCCGAAATAACGCACTTACGGAGGCGCTCGTCTTCCATCTGACACTAAGCACCCCGAAAAGCAAGCTACAGCGGGCAGGTTCCGTCAGGCACACCCCAAGGGAGAGCCCGAATAGTCCACATTTTCCCCAAGGATCCAATAATGAAAACGAGTTATAATACTTAGTCCATTTCATACATCAAGAGTTCTTAGAAATGCATTATTACATTACCAAATTCAGAGTGCGGAATATTAAATAGCTGAATAAAAATAAACATCTA